AAGTCACAGCCTCCTCCCGGGCTTCCTTTTCCGGGCTGCGTGAGGAACAGCGGGAGCCGGCCAAGGACCGCGCTCCATCCCAACAGGGCTGTCATGGTGACAACAAATGCACAACAAACCCCAGCCCTTAGGAACCGAAACCTGACCTGCTCAACCCGACCCCGTGGGGCAACTCGCCAGCCCTGGCTTGGTGCCCACCGCTCGCCTGGTTCTCCCCGTGTGCCACCCGCCCCCTCTTGGCTCTTGGGGCTCCGCAGCCCCCAGGATGGGCCTGAGCTCCGGCAGAAGAGCTGCCGATGCGCTCAGCTCCAGCTCAGCTCCTGCCTGCTGCCAGCTGGGTGAACCTGGGCTCTTGTCCTGCCTGCTGCTGCCAAGCCCTGCCGGAGCTGCCGCAGGCTGGATGCTCCAACCGGCGTTAGCCGGGCCCCTCTGCGGAGCTGTCGGCTGGAAGCAGAGCCCAAGACACCAACTTCGGTGGGGAGTTGCAGGGCGAGCTCAGGACAAGGCTGTACCTTCAGCACGACTTAACCACCCTCCTCGGTGTGGCAGCCCCGCTTATTGCCCTCTCCTCAAAGCCGAGAGCAGGCGAGCAGCTCTTCCCCACTTTCTGTGGGGTGGGACGGCAGCCCCAGGCCCTGGCTGGACTGCGTGGGGGCTGGTTTAAATCCCCACTGTAACCTCTGAGCTTCTGCACTTTGGGACCTGCTGTTATATTTTATGAAGAGCTGGAAGCGTGCGCGGTCAGGACAGAGTCCTCCTGGTGTCACCTCCTCCGTGCAGCGCCCAGGCTCTCTGGCCGTGTGTGAGCTCTACCAGGACAAGTTAGATGGAGGAGAAAAACTTGTTGGTGAGGTGTGCCCGGACTCTGGCCTCAGACTGGTCCAGCCCTACTTAGATGAGCCTCCACACCTGTCCTGCCCACCCTTGACTGTCCTCTCCAGGATGTCCTTGCCACCTGGCAGCCACAGGTTGCCACCCTGCCTCCAGCTGGGCTGTGAAACAGCAGCTCCTGCTGATGGAGGGGTCAAAAGGCTGGTTGGGGGACATGACAAAGTGGAGTCCTTCATGTGGCTGGGACCATCTGGGGCCACCCAAAGCGACCAGGTGCCGTGGCATGCCTGCGGCCACTGACACCAGCCCTGGTGGGAGCTAAAGGTAGTGATCCCAAATCACAGACTCGCGGAGTTGGCTGCTGGTCACCTCTGGAGGTCTCCAGACCCTGCTCCAAGCCAGGCTCAGTATGAGCCGGTGGCTCAGGGCTTTGTCCAGTCAAGAGTCGGCAGCAAGGTCCCAGCAGATGACATGTGCCCCTCGGCCAAGAAGGGGAGATTGTCACGTGTACCCCAAAGCAAAGAGTTCTGGGTGCAAGAGCAGAGCTGATACCCCTGGGGGCAGCTCAGCCGTGGGGACATGTTTGTCCCTGCCCCGCAGCCCCTCTGCACAGGGACCATGGCAGAGAGCTCGCAGGGTGCCAAAGGCCGCCTGTGTTGTTGGAGCCGCTGCCCAGCTCCCCACGTGTGCCAATTTACCCGCAGGACCCTGTATGGCAGCAGTGAACCGCCTGCTGCGTCCCCTGGGTGAGAAGACCTCCTGGTGATGCTGCGGGTGGCCGTGCGGGAGGACAAGGAGTGCCCGGGGAGCGCCCCAGCTTGGAGCAGGCTCCGGGCAAACAGCTGAGGTGGGGCCGTGAGTACGTGATGTGGGTTGTGTCGGGACTTCCATGGCAACCACAATATTTGGGCATTGCTTCAGCACCCACAGCACCCACCAGGAGCCCTGTGTGTGGTTGGGTTCCCGGTGAGGGAAACCAGCAGCCACGATGGGCAGCGCTGGCGTGTGGCATGGCTGCTCCCAGGCGTGTTCCACGGGTGTCCCACTGAGCCGTGCAGAGGGGACGGGTGCTCACCACGCTGCCCAGCATGCCAGGACAGTTGGCATTTGTCCCCACAGCCTGGGCAGTTGTGTTTGGTCCATGGTGTCACCCACCAAGAGGGGATGGTTCCTCTATGGAGGGGCACGCTGGCTGTGTGGGGCAGGGGACAGGGCAGCAGGAACCTGAAGGGGCAGGGTGGTGGAGGAAACTTTTGGGGTGATGGAGGTGCCTTGTGGGGTGGAGGAAAGACCTTGTGGGGTGATGGAGGGACCTTGTGGGGTGGTGGTGGGGCTTTCTGGTGGTGGAGGGGCTTTGTGGGGTAGTGGAGGGGCTTTGAGGAATGGAGGAAAAACCTTGCGGGGTGATGCTGGGGCCTCGTGGGGTGGTGGACGGACCTTGTGGAGTGCCAGTAGGGCCTCATGGGCTCGTGGAGGGGCTTTGTGGAGTGATGGAGGGGCTTCATAGGGTGGTGGTGAGGCTTTCTGGTGACGGAGGGGCTTCGTGGGGTGATGGAGAGGCCTTGTGAGGTGGTGGAGAGGCTTTCTGTGGTGGTGGAGGGGCTTTCTGGGGAGGTGGAGGGGCTTTCATGGAATGGAGGAAAGACCTTTGGGGTCTTTCCCCACCCACCGTGGGGTGACGGTGGGGCCTTGTGGGCTGGTGGAGAGGCTGCATGGGGTGGTGGAGGGGCTTCGTGGGGTGATGGAGGGGCTTTTGTGGGGAGGTAGTGGGGCTTCCTGGTGGTGGAGGGGCTTTGTGGGGCAGAGGAAAGACCTTGTGGGCTGGTGGAGAGGCTTTGTGGGGTGATGGAGGGGTCTTGTGGGGTGCTGGTGGAGCCTCGTGGGCTGGTGGAGAGGCTTTGTGGGGTGATGGAGGGGGCGTGTGGGTGGTGGGGCATCCTAGTGGTGGAGGGGCTTCCTGGGGTGGAGGAAAGACCTTGTGGGATAGTGGTGGGACCTTGTGGCATGGTGGAGGGACCTTGTGAGGTGCTGGTGGAGCCTCGTGGAGTGGTGAAGGGGCTTTGTGGGGTGATGGAGGGGTCTCGTGGGGTGGTGGAGAGGGTTCCTGGAGTGGTGGAGGGGCTTCCTGGTGGCGGTGGGGCTTTGTGGGTTGGTGGAGGCGCCTTGTGGGGTGGTGAAGGGGCTTCGTGGGTAGATGGAGGGGTCTTGTGGGGTGGTGGTAGAGCATCCTGGTGGTGGAGAGGCTTCCTGAGGTGGAGGAAAGACCTTGTGGGATAGTGGTGGGACTTCGTGGCATGGTGGAGGGACCTTGTGGGGTGCTGGAGAAGCCTCGTGGACCGGTGAAGGGGCTTTGTGGGGTGAT